TCGCAATTTTCCTACAGTCAGATACAAGTGACGCCAGTTCTGCACAAGAAATTAGTCATTCTCTGTAGAAAGTTTAAGGCAAGTCGAGGTCTTGATCTCATTCTGGAAAATCTAAAGAACAAGCTTTTTGGAGCTGCGAGTGGCAAGGACTAATCGCACTTGCAGCAAGAGTGGTAAAACCAGGTCCCACACGACAATCAATTACAGAAGACGGACCTTCAAATTTAGGATACTGTCTGTAGTCACGACAAATACGGTTTCATAGGCAGTGGAGACTGCGCAGACAACACCAGCTGAAATTTCTGCTTTTGAAGTTTCCGTTGGTCGAAAGCAGAGCAACGATTTCAGTTTCAAAGAAAATTATAAATGTAGTGGCTGTTCGAATTATAACAGACTCAAGGAAAACTGGCCGATTCTATACGAATTAAAAAATTACCAATAAAAGTTTGTCCCGTATTGACGCGCATACAAATGACGAAATGCGGGGGTAATGATCGCATTGGGAAAAAATAATGGACAACGCACCACGCCGCAAATACAAATAAGCAGAAAATTCAACAGAAAATGCTCTATCCAGAGAATTACTCCTGGACAAGATGGGTTACTACAAGAGACTTTCAAGGGGAACTGGTTACCAACAAATTCAGGCACCTGCAGACAAATAGTTAACATGCGTAGATTTGAAATTCCAATTCATAAGGTCAGAACAAGTTAGACGACTAATTCAAGCAACTTTGATCCGCAAGAACATTGGAACACGGAGGCGGGTTCGCATTGGTCTAAGAAGCTTTTGCCCTTAGAGCGCTGGACGCAGTATCGCACCAAACGTTCACCAAAAAATGACGGAAACTTTTCCAGCAAAGAAATACCTTCCAACTCCATACTTTGCCAATAAATTCAGCCCCGCCACACACTCTAAGTTTGGCGCTAAGGAATGACAATGACTACAGACGTAATCATAAGCAGGTAAATGAATGGATAAAGAACAAAACCGGATCTTCACTGATGGCCATTTCAAAGCCCTCACCTAAACCCCGCTGAAGAAATACAGCGAAAGACAGGAAGACCAACGTACAGCAAGATTCCGGCAGATTAAAGTTAAATGAAAGCGCTTATACAGAAAGCCTGGTCAAATATACCTGGAGATCCATACAACTAGCCTGCAGATTCGACACACCAATGACACCAATTTGTCATCGGTGCCAAAAGACGCACTACTTAGTACTAAGCTTTGACAAGGTTTCAAACGCAAGGGTGATTGAGGTGAAATTACAAAGATCATCGGCATATACTGCTCCTCATCAGCACCAGATGACGAAAGGTTTTTTGCAAAATGTCTATATGTTTGACTGTGTCTTTTATATGCAACCAACAATATTACCACTTGTCAGTCGCTTAAAAGACAATGAATTCTAAGCGACGGTAAGTTCTTCACCAAAACGATGCTACTTACTTGACCGACACTGCATTTCAAAAAATTAATCATTCTTTTGCATGAACCTCCCACAAGATAAAAATTTCAATAGAATGAATAAATGCAAAGAACCTAAAACACTTTGATTGACAAACTGCAACAAACTGCACGTCCCTAAACATCAATTTCTAAAAAAATAAAAAATTAAATGATGTATTAAAAAACCTCTATCATTATAAAATAATATCAAAAATTTTACCAATTAAAAGAGCACCTTCATTCACAAACACTCAGCAAATTACCCCTCCCCCTCTCCCCAATGAAACCTTGTCTCACATTTAGACGGAAACAAGAAAACTGGGACATAAAAGGCATCTTCCCAAACAATTCAACTAAACAGATTCAAAGAACGGCTCAAGAGATCTCCTTAGTATCTCGTAACGTTAATTTTTTACAAACCGCATCTTCATATAATCAAGATTTAACAGACAAATTAAAGCACCTGAATTTTAATGAATCCAAAGAGAGGAAAGAAAACAAGAGCACATAAAAATGCAAGGTAAAACAACGAAATGTTATATATAAAAAAATTTCTTGTTTTTTTTCTTTCTTACATGATCACAACAACAATTTAAAATGGAATAATCTGCATGGAAGGACTAGCAAATTTCACGGTACTGATCACAATTTAAAACTTATGAACCAAACAATGAATCAAGAAAAAAAAACAAATAGTGAAATTTTTGCAAAACTTCAAACCGAAATGGAAATAGGGGTTTGCAACTGGTAAGAAGCTCTAACAACGACAGTAAACTTCGGCAAGACTTAACTAATAATATATCAGTAGACGCATAATTTATGATAACATCAACAGGTTTCTACAGTAATATTTGTAAAGTGACAAGCATTAAAACTTCTCTTTAATAACTCAGTCAGATCCGTATAAAACTTAAAAAAACAGAAGAAAATTCTTCTAAAACGTACCCGAAACTTTTGAAAAACAATTGATTAGAATCCAAACCGTCTTGAAATATATGACATTCTTCTTACAAGATGAACTACCGAAGCATGAGTAAAACATTCATCTGAATCAATAAAAAAGATTTTACATAAATGACCACTAACATGGAAATAAATTAGAACTAAATTAAAAAAAAAGACAAACTTCAAAGACTCAGTAATAACAGCAATAATAACAGTAATAACAATACCACTCAATTAGTAGTAAGCTCTTCGAAAAATCACAAAACAGACAGTCTGTTCTAATCAACAGTTATGAGAAAATGCTAGGCTAAGTGCGGAAGCACCCGACAAATCTGTAAACAATGAATAACAATAATAAATTTCTTGCTGTAAAAACAAGAAAAAATATTTATAATACATAAACTCGTTTGCTTTATGCAGTTAAAACAGAAGAAATGTTACTAGCTACTTGAGCTTTTCTTAATGACACTGTTACGCTATGATTTTAAGCTTTTTTATCAATTCAGTACATAATTCACCACAACCCGTTGTATCTGTTCCTGTACAGTTGAATTCAATCTACAAAAAACTTCAATCAGCAAAAACAGAAAACATAAAAAATCTCAATTCAAAAGCCGATCTAAGGTCAGATGAAGTATGACAAATTAATAATGCCAAGAACAAAAAAAGAGGAAAATACAAAATGAAGGAATATCAAATTTCAAAATAAAAACCATAACGAAGAGCAGCAATAATGAACTAGACTAATGTTTTTTCCTTCTAATTGTCAGAAATGTTGGTGCTCAGCAGAGGCACTTAAGAAAGTGAAACCAACATTTGAAATTTGAAGCAACTTACTCGACTTTTGGCTTGAGAAATCGAGAAAGGGACTGGAATGACATCGATTTCGATACGACTTTTTTCACCATTCTCCACACAAATACGGTGGTTTTCTAAAAAGCCAAAAACATAAGCGCTTGAGGATATAACTTCGCCCAGAAAAGTCGCAAAAAAAGAATAAAGCCAGCTATATGTTTATTCAAAAAATTAATCAAATCTAAACTCCAACCACATGCAGTTTCCCTATACGCTATTGCTAGATTATCAAGAGCACTCCTCAAATGCTGTAGTACAATGTCAGTTTCCAAGAAGCTTATTAACACCGAATTTTCTGAAGGTGGCATTAATTTCATTGGACCATGCAAAGAACTTCCTGCATCAGCTCCTTCAGAAGCATTAGTGATATTGAGGATTGGCTGCTGCCCCTAGAAAGAATGTCCTGCAACTTTCTGAGAATTGCAAAAAGCCAGCTGGCTATGAGCAAACCAGAAGACTCACTTGAACCTTTTCATTATTCCGGCTAAAAAACGATATCGGCATAGGCATCTGTACACAGTCATTCTCATCAGTTATACTAATCAGTGGAGGACAATTCCGCTGTTGTTGAGTTTCCAATGAACTATGGCTGAAAGTTAAAAAATACAAGAACTGAACACTGAGCATAAGTAAACTACTCTGATCTTCTCTTCTAAGTAAGAATCATCTTGACAAAAATCTTTGCAAATACCAACGGAAAAATTAAAATATCATTCAGGCTGAAGTAATGATACTGAAATTTGTACAACAATGAAGTCAAAATTCCTACTGGACAGGAGTTTGAAAACTAGCATTCAGCTCCTTAAATTCTTTCTGCAGCTGCTGAATATTTGTGGCAACTTGATCCCCGGTGCCCACACTCTGCTTATATAGTCGCTCCAGCTGCGTCTAAAATATCGCTACTTTAACTAACGAAAAAAAATATTGGAGATTTATGAAATAAGCAATTCACCTGCTGCTGTCCGCTGAGATTAAGCAAAACAGACGTCCAACTACTTCTACGTTCATGTGAAGCAGGCTGTCTCGTGTATGGACCACGACGAGCAGATGTCAAACCAGTCGAATTGCCTGACGATCCACTCAGCGAATGGAATGTATTTCTTTTTGAGTGTCCGAATCGTTTTAAATACCTGAGGTGGAAATCAGCGCAAAGAATATCGAATTGCTGATAAAGAAACTGAAGCAATATAAAGACTGTGCAACATGAAATGAAGATAGCAAATGGCAAAAAATTACATTTCGCCTTCCTCTTCCACACTCAAATTACCAAGACCACCAGGATGTAAGGTCTGTAAGGCAACATTTGAGTTAGCAACAGCTGCTGCAGCCGCAGCTGAAGTGCCTGAAGTTGATGGACGATTAGGATTTAAAGAAAGCAAACCACCAATATTGTATGATGCATTGAAAGCCCGGTCTGGCAATTGAGAAGACATCTCAGAACTAGTATAGCTAATAGAATTTCCAGCACTAGCACGCCTTTCAGCTGAAATCATATAGTTCTCGTTACACTTAGTTCTACAAATCGTCTTCACTTGTTCAAGCAGTTACAACCACAGAAACACCATTTCCAAAAAACCGCAATAAAAAAGCAATGCAGAAAACCTTACAGGACGGAAGTGTTAAAATTTTGTTGTATAAAGCCAATGAATCCTGCAACAACATATTGGGAGACTGGTCTAAAAAGGGATTAGCGACCCTTGACGCGTAAGCAACAGCAGCAGCTTGGTTGGCAGCCAAAACTGCAGCAGCAAACGATCCTTTCTCAAGAAACTGGAAGTGAAAAAATATAAGTAAAACAGCGAAGCACACCGATAACAGCTCTTACTTAATTATGCTCCGTCAAAGTACCTGAAGCGTAAAACTAAGAGCTCTGTTCTAACAATCTGCATCCAACCATATGCACATATATCAACCACCAGTAGTTTGGCCCAAACAAAAGATAATAATAACTACAGATAATACCTGCTGAACAGCGAACAAGTTCCCTAATTCAGATGTCCCAACTAGTGTGTGCCGTCTAGCCTCCGACCTATTCAGAGAAGTAGAGGGTTCTTCCATTCCAGCCACAGGTCCCAGCTGAGCGGCATGGCACAGCCAAGACTCAGCCGGAGAAAGGCTAAGGTCGTCTTTCTCACTATCTTTATCTAATTCCTATAAAAAAAAAAAAAAAAAAAAAAAAAGAGATTTGAAAACAGCTTCTAATCTGCCTTTTCAACGCCATTAAAATTAGGAGAACCTCATCGCTACTATCCGAAAGCCCCAATAATACAAGAGATCGGGCAGAGATTGTAGGAGCTGGGGGTTCGTCGTCGATATTTGCTTTACCAGTAGTTATAGACCCGCGTGAACCTCGCCGAGGTTGTGGTGGAACTTCCAAAGGTTCATTACTCTCAGTTTTTTCATCAAGCTTTGTACGAAAAAGTTCATATGTAGCATAAATAGGAGATTCAAAATTTTTCTTTGTAACTTCCTGGAAAAAAAAAAGTAGATAAATAAATCGAATAAGCCCGCATTAAACAGAAGAGGGAATATAAACTAGAAAAAAAAGACCAAAAAACTACGAAAGAACAACTAATTCGGAAATAATTATTGCCGAAGAAATGAACAGAACAGATAAAAATTTTACTGAAAAATGATAAGCAAATATATAATAAAAGTAAACCTCAGCAATTTGTCCCTCTGACCAATTACCACACCGGTGCATATAATATGATATTATATTGTCCAGTTTGAAAGACGAAGTATCTGGCAACAACCGATCTACAGGCTTTTCTCTAATTAGTTGGCGCAATTTCTTCGACATTTCAGCAACAACCCAGCTAGTACAAGCAAATTTTAACAAGACTAAACATATTTGTGTAAAAGGAAATGCCAACGTGTACAGAAACTGAAAAAAAGGAAAGCATCAGAATTAAGAACAACTGGTCTAAACTTTACCGGTGCTGCGCTACACAATCAATATTTATACGACGTTCCGGATACACAACGATCATCTTCCTCAACAAATCACAACAATCTGAAGCAAGAATAAACTTAGTTATGATAAGAAAGTATTTAGGTGCTGATAATCAAATTATAAGTATTAATTACCAGGGGCTACCCAGAACGGAATTTTTAACTGACCAGCGACAACGGCATTTTTCAATTTATCAACATTCTCACCAGCAAACGGAAAACCGCCAGTTACCATAATGAATAGAACAACTCCTAAGCTCCATATGTCTGCCTTCGTTCCGTCATACATCTAAGAAACTTCACTGTCAAAAAGGAGAGTAACTTTACCAAGTAATTTAAAACAAGTTTTTAAAAAAACCTTTTACGAAAAAACATTTGTACAACACATAACGACCTACTTTCCCCAAAAGCAGT